GAGAGAGAGAGAGAGAGAGAGAGAGAGATAGATAGATAGATAGATATAACCATAGGGAGCCATATATACATTGAATATTTGTGTTATGTTACTTTATTTAATTACTTCCACTTCTTTTTATTTTTACAGTCTTCTGTGTTTAAATATTTATCCTTCATTGTCTCCAATATACCTTGTATTTTATTTTCCGTCTATCTCTTTTTCGTTTACCGATAGGCGTCCAATTTAATAATTTAAGTGGAAGCCGTGTTTCTTCCATCCTTTGAATACGACCATACCATTGAAGCTGTTTCATTTGTATAAAATCCAATAATGTGTAATTAATTTCCATGAATTCCATAGTACTGTAACATTCTTGATTTCGTCTAATTTAGAAATCCTTGCCGATCATTTCTTATTATATAATCATTTATTCATCCCATTCATTCACTTCACTCACTCACTTCACACCACATTCATTCACTTCACTTAACTCCCAAACGTTCCCGTCTACGAAACGTCCCATCGACTGGGAATATGGGGCATCGGACATGCATTCAGGACCACCTCAAATTGCAGGTGTTTGCCCAAAAATGTACATCCGACATCATCTGTGATATTCATACACGGCTCTATCCGCACTGCAGTCATAAAACGGTAAACATAAATAATGTCCGCGCATCCCTTGTTGCTGTAAATACGCGGCATTTCCATGCAAAATATTAGACTGATAAGTAAACACATATACGACTATTTTTAAAGTAAACACGTCTGTGTTTCTTTTTTTTTAAAAAAAAACCTCAATGGTGTTTTAATTAATGTGCCTCACTCGAATCTGTGGGGCTATTAAATTTCAGTTTCTCAATCACGCACTCTGGCGAGTACCAATCGCTTCACTTCTACACTCGATAAAATTAACAATGTGAATATCGCTAATAGAGGATGAATTGACTACTTGTTTATAGAAGACTTTTTATTCAAAACAACTTGGAAAGTAAAATTTTAAAGTTTCGCCGTTTCCTCACCTGACACCCGGTGTGTTGAAAGCTCATAAATATTCATAAATAGAAACGTATAGCTTCTTGAATTAAATGTAAAATTTGTACGAACTGAATATTAAAACAATAAATAAAGTTTTGTTTCATTAATATTGTAATACTCTTGTGAATTAAGTGTAGTGTAAAGTGAATACAATAAAAACCAAGGAAAAAATATTGCATTGTAAAAAATTATGTGCCATGCCCATTTTAATTTTCGTATTTATCACGTTCTTTGCAGGACTCCACTACGACTTTTACAACCGACCCTCCTGCAGATTCGACGACAAGGGAACCCGTATATCAGAGTATCATTCCTTCGCAATATGATACGAGGTGCCCTTGGGTACATCTGAATTTGTCCCTTCCTTGTGGCGATTTTCTTCAGTGCGAAGATGATGGATCTTGTTCCGAAAATAAAATATGCTGCCGCAATGAATGTGGTAGAATGGAGTGTGTATTTGAGATAAAGGGGACACGTCCACCACTTTTGAAAGAGGTAGGTTAATTTTTTCATAAAGCGTTCGTGATAATTTTAAAATACTAGTGGTAGCAGTAGTAGTAGTAGTAGTAGTAGTAGTAGTAGTAGTAAAGTGAGGATTTTACAGCTATCGCCGTTTCTCGCTGCCTAATATCCATTTATTTCGACCTCCCCAGGCATCATCTTCTAAATCTCGCGCTGCCATCATTGATCTTGCGTCTTCCTCCCACTTTCTTCTTGGTCTTCCTCTATATCTTCTTTCTTCAGGATGGTATTCCCACATCATCTTTGGCAGTCGCTCACTGTCCAACCTTTTTAAATGCTCATACCATAATTGAGCGTTTGTTTCTATCTGCTCTATGGTTGATTTTCCAGGTTTCATTATTTCTATCATTCTTTGATTTTTAATTATTTTCTTTCTTGTAACCTGATATCACCGTCTCCAATATTCCATTCCTGTTCTTTGGATCTTACTTCTATCCCAGGCATTAATAGTTTATTACTCAGCTCCATATGTGAATAGACTTTCAACAATTGTTTTACATACTGTAATTTTTGTGCTTCGTTTTATGCTTGAAATCCATTTCAATGGATGTAAAGAACGTATAACTTACCTGCTTCTTTTGATGATCTTTTTTTTCATTTGCCTATGATTTCCTCATTTTTAGTCTTTATTCCAGTCATTCAGAGAAATTTTGCCTTTCTCTTGATCTGGTTTCTACATTTCGGAAATTTCGTATTCCATCATACTCATATAACCACATCGCCTCAAGCGCTGATACTTTAAGTGTGTAAACGGTTTTGAATTCTCGTATAAGTTATGAAACATCTGTTGTTACCACAATCCCTGCTTCGTTCATTTAATTGGATTCAGAACTTCCTACATTCATATTTCATTAAAAACCATCACATTTTCTGGAATAATCCGCAGCCGGAGTCCGAGTAGAGGAATCCCTTTCGTCACTTGTAGAACTTAAGTAATAAAAGTTTGTTACATACGCATTTTGCCTTTTCTACAGGAGGAAGTATCAGAGCCCGAATCGGAAAGCGAGATACCAGAAGACCAGCCGCCACCGATGCTCATTTTGCCATTTTTGGCGGCCGGCGGCCTCGGTTCCTGCTGTACGAATCCCCGAGGACCTAGCCGCTGTGAAGATACGTGCATTCCATGGTTCCCCATCTGTCCGAAGGCCCAAAAATGTATGCTCAACGACTGCGGAGTTTGGGAGTGCACGGACACAACCAACGAAGAGGGGCTAGCAGAGGTGGAAAAAGAGGTTGGCACAATTTTGATTTATCTCTTTCGAGCCTTAAAGTGATTTGCTTTCACTGGAGCAACGAGGTGTATTTTGTCAAACAAATATTCAAATTTTGCTCAAAGTGATTTTTAATTTTTCGCTGTTTTTGTAGTACACAATAAATCTAACACAAATTCTCTGATACTAAAAATTAGGCAGTCTATGAAGAGTTTCAGAGTACTCCCTTTATTGCAGTTAGTTACACCGATCCCGGAAAACCTCTATGATGAAATCCCAGAACCGCAAGTCGACGAAGAGTCGCCGGTAGACAGCCGCACACCGACAACAGAATGGAGTCCGCTGTGCCCGAAGCCGGACCTTCGGGGCGGAGAGCCCTGCCGTGACGCGTGCAACCCCCGGGGGGAGCCCTGCCCGGGGGGCCGCGTGTGCTGTCCCAACAAGTGTGGGTACGGCGAGTGCACGGATGCAGTCGTCGGGGAGCAGCCCGCGCGAACGGAAAAGGAGGTTGGCAGGATTTTGAAGTTCATTCTTCTGGTTCTTAGAATCGCAACGCAATGAAGGGAGGAGTGAATTGTATCTAGCAATCGATAACTTGGCAATCTTCTTGTACGTCATGAAAACATGAATAGATTTTCACAAAAAAAAAAGGAATTTGCTTACAGTGAAACGAAATTAGTAAGTTACTTTCGGGAAACGGATGAATTCAAATCGAGCAAAGTTTCAATTAAGGGGGTTGTTTGTTGTTGTTTTAGCTTTAGTTTTCGCTAGTAAAAGAAAATATTTTATATACAAAACCTTTGTTTGATTGTTTGTTTGATTGTTCATTCTTCTTTGATTGATTGTTCTTGAGGGATACACATACTTGCCGTGAATATTTCATCGACATATACATGAATAGATAGGGAGCAATGAAACTACGTAAAAGACGGTAGCAATATTGAACATGTGCTTATTGTTTGATAAGTTGTGACTAATAAATGTTTTATTTTACAGAAATTATTTTGGGACCTGTATGCAGAGAACACAATTCATCAGTTTGAGAAGAACGTTGTTTCATAGGACCTTTTTAAATGAACATAAGAATCTTAACGATTGAGATTAGCATCAATGCGCAACTTACCTACATCATTACTACTAAACATCTATTACTTAAGAACATCTATACGTTAATAATATTGTAAGGTTGGAAATGTTTATAAATAATTGAAATGTATATTTATGAGCCCTATCAATAATCTAAATGAAATGAAAAACGAATTTTAAAGATTTTATAAAGAATTAGGTAGTTTACTTTAACAAGTTCCTATGTTGTGGGAACTCCATTTGAAACAACCGGAAGGTTAAATACACTATGCTAGACAGGACAAGACAAACTTTTGTGAGACAAATTCTGCATAGTGTTGAAAAACTGAAAAGAAGTTGGCGAGAATTAGCACTGGCGCCCTCAACAAACCCGAAGCCAAACACGTTTTTTGTAGTTTTTACTCACTGACAAATTTATATATTTCAATGAATGATAATATTCTGGTGTTTCAGTTTGAGTTATTTGAGAAGAATAAAAGTATTTCCAAAAAAGATAATAGAAAATAAATTTCACAATTTCATTATTATATAATTATGACTAACCATAAATGTCATCAATGTAGAAATCAAGTGTAGATAATCAGTGTAACTAGTGTCAAAAGAAAAATTAAAGTTGTTTCAACAATTCTATTCATGAGATTGTCTAAAGTAAAGAAATTTGATTTTTTGTCTCTTTTTATCTGGATCTTAACATCTTCATACGAACAAAAACTTAACAAGGACCAATAAAGTTTCAATAGTAATATAATGTATTCAATCTTTTTCTTGCATATTGAGCATAGACGCAAATTTCTCAGTAAGATAACATGTCGAACGGGTATTACGTATGTAGACTACCAATCCCAAAAGAATTGGTTGTTCTGCTGAGGAGAGATTGTCACACATCCATAAACATCCATAATTTATTATTACACATTCCATTTCCAATACATTCATAAAGTAATTAAAGATGTTGTCATTGCCAACAATATTTTTTAATTCAATAGCAGCTTTCGATGGCTTAGCCATCATCAGTTGTCTGCTAGATGGAAGCCACAAAACGACTTCCATCTAGCAGACAACTGATGATGATGGCTAAGCCATCGAAAGCTGCTATTGAATTAAAAAATATTGTTGGCAATGACAACATCTTTAATTATTTTAAAAATGCCAAAGATATCTTACCACAACACCTACATTCATAAAGACTTCAATAATAATAATAACCATTTTTCTGTGATTTCCCTTTTCTTCCCACTAAAACACTCGAAAATCAATTTGACAATAGATCTCACAGGAAATGTTGGTGTTGCAATTGCACTTTATTTCTCGCATTATTTGCATTTTTCATAATTTTCAAAATTTCAGAGAGATCAACAAAAATTAGACCAGCGCTCTATCCGAAAAAAAAATTATCAAATGCTTTTGAAGCATTTATGAGAAAGGTATTACCTCAGGAGGGACGATAGTAGCATGTATTTCTCGAATACACAAATTATCTCCTGTTCAAATAAAATACCAGATTTTATTATATCCCCAGGTTCACTACAATACAAAAAAGGGATGTTAGGTTACACGAGGAAAAATAGTTTCTTTTGTTACCATCAAAAGTGCGTGTACTACCGCCTATAAAGCCCAGAAGAGTATATTAAATAATGTATCACCCCTAGACGATAAAGTGGTACTGTAGCAGCATCTTATGAGTCATTTAGAAGCGTCTTTAATCTGACGAATAAAATGAAGATTATTTTAAACGCATTTCACTGGTACCTGAAAAAGGATTTTCATTGAAATACTATTCCAATTCCGCATGTTCGTGGGAAAAATTATACCCTTAGAAAGCAGTAATCCGAGATTCCCTTCGTGTCCCGACGTGCGAATTGCCTCAAGTCCGATGACTCGAGAGCTACGCACTGCCCTCATGGAAAACTTGTTCCTTTTCAGGAGGCCGAGCGGGCGTCGCGCGAAACTCCCTTCGCGGGCCGCGCTCTGAGCCTTATCCGAGGAGACGTCCGGAGGAAAAAATGATTTCCCGCAAAGAAAGCGAGTTTTCACTCGGGCGCTTCAGTTCCTCGGTGTCGGCTTACTGCAAAGCGCCTTTGGTCGCCGCGCCGGGCCGGGCTGGAGGGACCGTCCGCAGATCCGCGTCGCCAGTGGCGCGGAACAAGAGACGGGCTCCGCCGCTAACAATGACGCCAACTCCCTCCCCCCCCCCGCCTCCGCAATCACCACCGCTATCGGCCCTGCCGCCTCCTGCGGCGTCTTCCTTTCCGCCGCCCCCCCCCCCACACACACACACTCGCACCCCGCCCGACGTCGCGCTGCAACAGCACCTCTCTCAGGCAACCAGCTCCACTTCGCGCCTCCACCGCCTTCACGCGCGCCCCAAGACGTTCAACTCTCACCGACGCACCAACTGCTCGTCATTCCCAATGCACCAATCCCAACACCAATTCATCACGCCCTCCTCACCATCCCTTCACCGCCATTGCATTACCACCACCAAAGCACCACCAACACCAATGCACCACCACCACCAACACCAAAGCACCACCACCAACACCAAAGCACCACCACCAACACCAAAGGACTACCACCAACACCAAAGCCCCATCATCAACACCAAAGCACTACCTCCAACACCAAAGCACCACCACCACCAACACCAAAGCACCACCACCAACAATAATGCACCACCATCTACGCACACCACATCACTACTACCACCATCTAACCTAACGTTGGTAGAATAATATATTTTGTTATGATAAATCGATGTACGGAGTACTCGAGGAAGGTGACTGACAAAAGAACAGAGCTGCCTCCCGAAATTAAATAGATTGTGTCTTGTGGATTTATCGAGTATCCAAATTCCAGCATTAGCATTTACTTTACCGTTATAATGTACTAATTCATTTCCTCGATTTCCTTCTATACTTTTCTTTCCTTTTACTCTTCTTCGCTTATTCTTAATCGTTTTCCATCGTTTGATTATTGATACGCAAAAGTTAATACAATCTTACCTAAGCCTTCTTTCACACTCTTTATTTTTAGAAGCTTATTCCACCCTTACAAACCCGCCTCGTTCCCAAACTTCATTGCAGACCACGTCACCTAATACCGCGACTGCTGGAAGCCGATTTCCGCTTACATGCGCGAACAAATTAAGTTTCCACTTTTTACGGCTAATAACTTACAACGTTCCTAAGCCCCCTCGCTTACGAAAGCCGAGGAAATCGTTCCCGAGAAAAAGGACTTCCGGGATGCTGTGGCGAGTTGCAAGATTATTTCTTGGTCGCCGCCTATTGTCACTTCTCTTTTTTTTCTCTTTTTCGTAGCTTACTTCAAACTTTTCAACTCAAGGTGGTGCTACTTCGCGCTACACGAATTGCGGTACTAAATCAAAATGACTCGAAAACATCTATATGTAAGGCTGTTTTCTGTTTCTTAATATCTGACTAAATTATGGTCTTCTTTACTGACATAACACAACGAAAAATTAATATATTATTATCCCTCACTAATGATATTATTACATTCGATTTTCTATGGAAATAAATTCTTAGTTGACCTTTGCATTGGCCGGCATGTTATTACCTAAACGGCTGAAATCTCAAATATCAACACTTAAAATTATCTGTAAAAACATAAAGATCCAGAAATTCGAAGGAAAGGAAAGGCATTAATTATTCATTACCGACATTACCCAACACTTATGCTTTTGTTTCATCGAGGACATTCCTTCTAAGACTAACTTTAAACGCTAATTAACCGCAGTATCAGGCCTAGACTTCGTGTCACGTACCCGTAAATGTGCGGGTAAAAAAGTCCTAATTACAACATACACAGAGATAAACTACACCAGTCGTCACCCACACTGTTGATGAATGGAGGAATATATTTTTCCCATCCTTTTTCCTCCACCACTCACGCCCTGTGTTACATCGACACCGTCTTATTGCACTACTTTCACTGCATTGTCACAGTCAGTGTCATCAGCGCACTTGTAACAATTGCTAGGGTAACAGCTAGCACTAAAATCAAGACCCTCATACCGTATCTCCAGTGCCAGACCCCCACCACTACCACCGCCACCATATCAACTACCACGACCACCACCATCACTACCATCAATACTACTACTACCACCACCACCACCACAAACTCACCACCGTAACTACCACAACCATCACCACCGTAATTGTCATAAACACTATGCCACCACAATCCTCTAACGTGTTAAACAAAAACCTCCATTATCAATCCTATTATTCAACTTCAAGAATACTACCAAATACGGTCACCACTACCATTACACACGCTCACCACCAATCTACCCACCATCACAATTACCGCCGAGACCATTAGATGTCGTCACAAAAAAATATTTCGGTCAACCGCGTGGGCGGCGAAGGCGGCAGTAGCTACAGGCTTTACCCCTTAATTATAGCGATTAGCAACTGAGAGACGGCGGACCCACCGCGCGCCCCCGCCCCCGCTATTTATAACACGTCTTTTCGGAGCGCCGTGGGCAGGTATTACGCCGCGAACCGCTCAGATAAAGTACGAAAATCTGCATTCACTAATTCGCATTTAATACGCAACCAATTACACCTCCGCTTGCGCGATATCAGTCGGGCGAAAACGGACGGAAGAAAAATTAAAGATGGCGATTTACGAGCGGCGTCGAATCGCCGTTGTTAAGCGGCGCGCGTGGGGTATGTAAATCGGGCTCGCAACGCTTCCCGCGAGACGCGGAGGAGCGAGGTGGGGGCGGGGGCGAGGGCGGGCGAACCGGGTGGCGCTCGTAAAAGAACAATAAAATGCGGTTCGCTCGAATTACGAGCGGAAGCGTGCTATTAGTTTAACATTCACTTGGCCGAGTGCGAGACATGCAGGCACGAACTGCGCGGGGAAGGTCGCTCCGCCTGCTAGCCAGGTGCGCGGGCAACACGCGAAATCTTGTACTGGGCCTCCTGTGATTGATCCACGGAGCGAAGAGCTCTCAGGATTCACAGAGCAAGTTCTGATTTGTCAATGTGTTTTCCTTCTGCGTAGGAAATGTATTTTTCATTGGTAGAGTTTCCAAACCCAAACTCATCAATCGCTTTCTTTGAAACAGTAACATACATTTTTTTAACAGTAACAGAATGTTTTTAAACCAATTGTAATAATTTATTCCATTTAACTCCATATTTAAAATGGAATACATAATTACAATTTGTTTTAAGAAAATGTACACTAATACTGTTAATAATAACCGTTACTGCTTCGAGAAAAATGCCTCAAAATTGTATTTGGAAACTTTATCAGAAAAACGTATTTGAGACAATCATAATTTAAGTGATAAAAATGTAGAATATATTCCAGGAAAAATAATACATGGGGTTTTACTATAAAATTATAAGGATGAAGAAAATTTAAAATATCCTGAGAATTATTGCGCATATTCCATCAAATTTCACTACCTTTAATACTGAATAATATAAACATTGCCATTCAAATAATTATCATTTTTTCAGGTTTAATCAGTGTGCGATAATATTAGGAATGTAGGCCTAAAGGAAAGACCGTATTTGAGAGGTTCGTAAACTTTTTTTCTGTTACGCTTTCGTAACAACTTTTGGGAACAAAATCACTTGGTCTCACGTAAAGTAATCCTCCAATTTAATTTTAGCCAATCAGCCATCATCAATCTAAGTCAGGCATTGCCTTTCCTGGACGGTCACCCATCAAGAAACTCG